GGGTTGGCAATGGAGCCAATGGAGTTAAATAGTTATGTAAATGAAGTTCAAAAAACTAGTATCCATTGGCTCCATTCGCAACTCCATTGGCTCCATTTGCAGCTCCATTGGCTCCATTGAACTCCATTGCCAACCCTGGGTGGGGGTATGGGAGGTATGTTACGAAATATTTCATGACGCCTCTTTCGTTGCTTATCATCTTTGCTTCTGAGAGACAATTTCTTAAACATATCCGTAGTTTCCTCTAGAGCTAGATTGAGCGCTGATTCTATCGAATTGAATGGGTTTTTTTAGTGGAGCTGGCTTTATGACTTTTTGAGTCACCTATGGGCCTGCTACCTTCTTCGATTAATGAGATGTTCATACCATCTATTACAATTTTAGCATAAAAATCATTAATTTCAGAAGAAAATCTGAAACCTATTTTTGCTTTATGCATCCATAACCAATCCAGTCCTAATACCAGATCAAATGATAGATTTTTACGAATTTGAAAGTCTATTACTTCAGTACAATCTAAGCTTCGCCACTTTCCTTTATAGTGAAACTGTAAATCTAAGCCTTTTATTTCTTCACCGATTAATTCATCATCAGATAAACATTCCAACCCATAATCTTCTTCAAGCTTATCGAACAAGCTCTTGCTAATGGTATTGGATTTAGATGTTTTATCGATTGATGCTTTTACTGGGATTTTTCCTTTGACAAGGGTATTTACAAACATTTTAAGTATATTTAATGATGTATTTTTTTTATTGCGTATTAATAAATAATTTAACAGACAATGACTGAAAATAATAATATTGAATTAGTGCTAAAGCAACAGAGTGTGATTAATTCATATTCAGAATGTCCAATTATCACTTATGAGATTGTGAAAAAATTGGGTTTGGAAAAAGATAAAAGTTCACACAATATTATTGATAAAGCCGTATCTCATATCATTAAACAGGTATCGGGTAAAAAAATTCAGATTTCTCTCTGCCAATTACTGGAGATAGTGAACCCCAAAATTCAGCAAGATATTATAAACTCGATAATGAACTCAGACATTTCTTGGCAATGTAAGGCTAAAAGAAAAAAAACAATTTTTAATGATACCGCATCTGAGTCCTCGTCTGAATCTGAGTCCGGCTCTAAATCCTCTTATGATAATGAAAATTTTACTGTAGATATGATAAAAGTAAAGAAGCGCAATTAATCTTGATCATAGATATGAAATCATCTTGCTTGCTTATAAGGAACTCCTCTTTTTCTATAATTGACTACAATGTAATTTTGCATAGAAGAAGTATGATTATCAGATGAATGACGTAGACATTCTCCAGCAATTGTATAAGCATGGGCCATATTCTTAGCCTTATGTGCTACTGCACCATAAACTGCTCCTAATTTACGTAAATATTTAGGAATTAAATCATAATCTTTTAAAAATTTATTGAACCATTTAACTCCTGGCTTACCTGGATCACCCATTCGTCCAGATGATATAGCACGCTGAATCCAAGTGAGTAGTTCTTTGGCTCGTTCT